ACCTGGTACATCACATGACACCAGAGCTTACTTGAACGATGTTCAATTTTTCTTGAGTAAAAATTTCCCGGAAGCTACCGTGGAAAACAAAATTTACCTGATGAAACTCACTTCTAATCGAGAACTTAGTAAGTTTATCGACCGTCAAACCCCTCTCACGAAGTCAGACTGGAATCGTCTGTGTCTGGCCATTGAACAGGAGTATTCAGATTTTTCTCATCAAGCAGGACTGACTTTAGCCATGAATGTCAAGCAAGGACCAAATGAAAATCCCAACAAATTTTACTCCCGACTTATGCATGCATTTTTCGGCCCCAGAAATGAACCTGACATGGAACGTGACCCAAATTTCAAAGCTTTGTTTGTTCAKAATTTACATATTTCTGTCAAACAGCAGCTAGATGTGACAATCCAACCCCACACGACTTCCATTCAAAAGCTACGTGAATATGCCTGCCTAGCTTTCCAAAAAGTCAAACAAAGCAGACATACAGAGCCAAGCGAAGTCTTAACATTGGACAAGAAAGACCTGTCTCTAGGACTGGAAGGAGCCACAGGCAGACCTGACTCAAACAGAGTCAAACTTGCCTCATCCTCACCTAAAACTGGCCGGAGACCACGGTTTCGCCCCGACAGATCCTCAAACTCTAGGCAAGATAGATCTCCCCAAAGATCAAACTATAGAGGAGATTACCAAGGACACCGTTTCTATAACAAACAACAAAGATACGGAAAGCATGACTATTCCCAAAGGTCTTACCAAGAAGAGAGATGYCCGCATGGAGATTTTGAACAATCTCCCCAACGTCGTGAGCGATCTGAAAAGACAAAACAGTCAACTAAACTCCAAGATGAAAAATCTAAAAATCAAGATCACATTACTGATGACTTGATTGAGAGAGCCATTGAAAATTACCTTAAGAAAAGGGACGAGAACGAAAACCAAGTTCACGAAAAAGAAACCACAGACTTAACAACACCCCCTGTTGAATCTGACGACACCTCAGACTCAGTGGACACTAGTGACGACCATGATTCAGATCCGTCTGACTCAGAATCACAAGATGAAGATTCAAACATCCCTAGCACAGTCTTAGTGGTCCAAACTGACCATAGTGACTTAAACTCAAATGGTGACAGTCCCAGGACCCCTGTGGAACCACCAGTCCTACAGTTTTTGTGTGATTTGACCGAAAGGGGGGTCGCACTACCACTGAAAATGGAGAAAGCCTTAGAATGTCGAGCCCTTCTGGACACAGTAGCTGATGTGACTCTGATGTCCGCCAGCCTGTTCAAAGAGCTACAAACAAAGGCCCACAGCGCTAACAGGAAGTTGTCTCTCCAACCCTGTGTGCTAGAAATAAAGTCCTACACGCCCCCTGACGCCATCATAACATCAGTGGCCTCAGTAGAATTACAGATAGGCCCTGTGTCTCTCAAACATCYAGTGTATGTGTCTCCTTTCGACTCAGTACCATTTCTCATTGGACAAGATCTTTTGAACCGTTTCCAGCCTTTGATAGATTACAAAAATCTCAAAGTATGGGCCCAAGTGAAAACACCACTGCCAATAACATTTTCTCCTGAAGCAGACGCCAGACGCGCCACTCGTGAGAAAAATGAAGACACTTTAACTTTTGCACAACCACGACTTTACAGAACCACTGAAGGACGCAAACTTTACAATGACCAAAAGACTCTGCCCAAAGAACTCAAAATAGGCGAAAAGGTATGGTACTACAAGTTCACAGCCCAGGCTGGAACACATGACMAACAACTYCAACCAGAATGGACTGGACCCCACCTGATCACAGACAAACTGTCACCATCTCTTTACCAGATCAGAACTAGTAAAGATAAAAAAGAACCTGTCAGTAAATGGGTCCACAGAGACCAAATAAAACCACAAAAAGGCCAGAAACCCAGAAACCTCAAACCACTAAAATAACTAACCTTATTATCATGAATGTAAACTTCACCTAACTTAAACAACCAAGGCTCCAATTTTTATTTTTAAATAAGCAATCATAAGATCTATAAAAACATAATCACCCATGCCTGCCAATCCAGACAGATTTTGCCTGATCACCAGAGTGAACACTCTATTAACTAAGCATTCATTTAATAACCAATGAGGGTGAGTTATGCCTAAAACTCAAACTCATTGCTTCAACTACGTCCATCGCACAAAAATGGCCGAACCGTCAAACGTTGTTACTAAATCAACCTCCGTTTCACAAATGATCCATGCTCACACCCAGAAGATAACCTTGCTTCTTCCTGATATCCTGTACTTAAAGAGACTAGCCGTCAAACGACGTTCTCGTACTCGATAAGAC